AAAGTGTCCTTCAAAAATGATGGAGAAATTAAGACATTAGCATGTAAATAAAAGCTGAAAGAGTTTGTCACAAGTAGACCTATACTATAAGAAATACTAAAGGGAGTTCTTCAGGCTTAAATGAAAGAAAACTAGACAGTAACTAAAAGCTCTAAGAAGAAATCAAAAAGTTAGATAAATATAACTACATCAGTAAATACAAAAGCCAGGATCGCTATATTTTTGGTGTGTGGTTCCCCTTTTTTAATATGATTTAAAAGCCAAGTGCATAAAATAATTACAAATCTATCTTAATGAACACACGATGTATATAGATGTAATTGGTAATGATAGAAACATACAGGAGAGGTCTCAGCTGTTTAGAAGCAGAGTTTTTGTATGCTATTGAAACTAAGTTGGTATCAATTCAAACTAGGGTATTATAGATTTAGGTGGAAATAACCCAAATGTCAATGGAGTAACAGATAAATAAAACGTGGTGTACACACACACACACACACACACAATATGGAATACTGTCAGCCATAAAAAGGAATCAAGCACTGATCTACAATGTACAATTTTTGAGGTATATAAACCTCAGAAAAAACTGTGAAGGAAGTTATACATAAAAGGTCCATATTGTAATATTGTATGATTCCATTTATATGAAATATCCAAATATGTAAATTCATAGAGACAGGAAGAAGACTGGTGTTTGCCTAGGACTGTGGGGAGGCGACAAGAGAGAGTGACTGCTTAAGGGGTATGAGATTTCCTTTTAGGATGATAAAAAATGTTTTATAGATGGTGGTTGCAGAATATTGTGAATGCATTAAATGTCATTGAATTGTGCACTTTAAAATGGTTATTTTAAGTGAACTTTACCTTAGGTTTTTTTTTAATTAAAAGTCCTGACCATGCAGAAACATGAAAATATTCATATTGTATTACAATCATACACCATAGGCAGCTTTTTTTAAAAAGAGGAAACAGAAAATAACAGCATGCACTGCACAAAGTAATGTTCAGTAACACTTTTAAAGCTTTTTGTTTTAGTTAATTGTAGTTTTGTATATTTATTAGGTTACAATGTACAATATTTCCTACTGTGGGTTGCCAAAAAAAAAAAAAAATTGGAAAGCCCTGAAAATAAAATCCTGCTGCTACACTCTTTTAATTATTCTTCTGTGGCAGGCATGGAAACATGCAATTCTGATCTTTTGTTAAAAAAAAAAAAAAAAGTAGTCACTGAGCTGTGAGGAGTGCAGTTAGCTGACAGCCTCTGGCTGCAAAGCCTTTGAGATTTGTTAAAGTCTTTGTGCCAAGGCCATGTTCTTCCCAGGCAGCCTCCAGTCTGGTGGATATCAGGGCCTGGCCATGTCTGCCCACTGCAGGACTTCTCTGATAGACAACCCCAAATCTTCCTATTGGGTTAGCCAAGACCTTGTCAAATCTCCAATGCAATCTCAGACTGCACCTACCCAATTCCACTTTCATCAATCTTTCCTTTTACAAATGTCAGATCTGTATCAAGATCTGAAGATTTCCCAGGTCCAGTTCTTCTTCCTCCCCCTTGGTCTTTCACAGGATCTATTTCCCAATAATCCTCATTCCAATTTGGCATCAGCTTCCTGGGTGATCCGAATTGATACATCCTCAACACTTATCACAATTTGTAATATGATTACGTGTTTGTATATTGTCTCCATCACAGAGCAATTTCTTTGGCAGCCTTTTTCACTGAAGGGTCCTCCTCTCACAAAACCTGGATAACTTCCTCACTGACTCCCTCCTTGTAGCCTATACAGGGGAGTAGTGGTTTTACTCTGTGCCCTACATAAGGGCACCCAGCTAAGAGAGTGAGAGGGGGCTGAAATCCTGTTTCAGGGCTATATCTGCCAAGAGTAGAATTTCTTAACCATGGCACTACTGACATTTTAAAATAGTTAATCCTTTGTAATGTTGGGGGGCTGTCCCCCCAACCATTACACTATGACATTTAGTAGTATATCTGTCCTCTACCCACAAGATGACACTGGTACCTTCCCTAATTGTGACATTCATACATGTCTCCAGACATTGCCAATTGTCCCAAGGGGGGGGGGCAAAACTTTTCCTGCTTAAGAACCCTTGGCCTTGATGAAACAGCGTTTTTCTACTTTCTCCAAGTGTCATATGGTCAGTTAGTAGTCCTGCTACAACTTTTCATGGTCCTAGGAATATTCCTCCAGGCTAAGCAGCCCCAGATGTCTTGGTAGCAACTCGCACACAGCGTGAAGCTTTCTGTCTCTTCCTTTTATATCCCTTTTTTTGGACCCTACATGGGTGTCTGCATGTGTTTCCATGAAGTATAGGCCTAGGATGGGACAGATTATCCCAGGTGGCTGTGAACTGCAAATCCATTTCCAACCATTTTCTCAATACGGTCTCCCTTCCAAGCAGACAGAAACTTAAAGGAGGGCCAATCCAGGGCAGCATTGAAACTGCCTTTGCAAAATTATGGCTGAAACAGTGAAAGAAATATAACTTAACTGACTCCTCCTTGCCTCTAACCTCCAAGCTGTCCTTATTCATTCCTGAGTGTAGGTTGAACTAACTTTGGGGGAAACTTAGTTTGTAGTCTATAAACAAAGACGGTAATAGCCCTTTCCCAAAGCAGACCTTCTTCTTCCCTGGAGACTAGATTGCCTTTGTAGAACTAACATTAGCCACAATATTAGAAACTATGGTTTAGGAGTCATGCAGCTGGAGGCTACAAGATTCTGACCCTCCTTAAACTGCTCCTAAGATCAGTGCTTGAGATATTTTTCAGACCCAGCACACAGAGGATCAGCTGGCACCACCCAGATCAATAAACGGGCTCATCTGATTTTGTGACCCCCCAAACCAGGAACTGACTCAGCACAAGAGACAGTTTCTACTCACTATGATTTCATCCCTGACCAATCAGCACTCTAGTTCACTGGGTTCCCCCCCACCAAATTATCCTCAAAAACTCTGATCCCCAAAAGCTCAGGGGAGACTGATTTGAGTAATAATAAAACACTAGTCTCCCGCACAGCCAGCTCTGCATCAATTACTCTTTCTCCATTGCAATTCCCTTGTCTTGAATTGACTCTGTCTAGGGAGCAGGCAAGGTGAACCCCTTGGGCAGTTACAGTATGTTGCCATTAAGGGACAGATGAACTGTACCTTGGCCTGTATGCCTTCTCATCACACTTTGTTATCCACAAACTGTTTAATCCAGTTTTGTTTGGAAAATTACTAGTCATCTTATGTAAATTCCTGCGGCCATTCACATTGGGGCATACTACATACTACTTCTTTCTTACATGAGAAGTGGCCAATTAAAAAGAAGTGTGCATTTCTGAGTGCCTGCCCTTAATACGTCAGGGTTCCTATTTTGCCTAAACTTGTGAGCCATGGCCATCTTCATCAGGCACAGAAACCTCTTACACCTCAATTTCAGGTGCTTTGAAATCTGAATGACCATCCCTTCAAACTTCCCCTATCAAAGTATATTTCACACATGCCATTTAACCTGTTTTAAGGCCGGTTCCCACAAAACTAGTGCAAATCCATGTCCAATCATTTTCTCATTATGGTGTACAAGAAAGAAACTTCATTTTATCCAGGTAAGTTTGCTTCCTTTCCCCCTACCTCCAACTGTTGTTTTTCCTTACTTGCATTCATGTGGATGTTTTAAATTTATATTTTGGATTTTGATTATTCAGTGTACAAAATTCAGATGTGTAATACCTAACCTTGTTTTTTACTCTGTTTTTATACTCTTCCTTAATCACCTAGCCTTGTTTCCACATGATAAGCTCTCCCTTAGCTAAGAAAGCTGGACGAACTCCATTTGGCTCCGTCATTTGCAAGGTTTCAAGGACTCCTTACCCACCCCCTTCCTCTGGCCGAGAATTTCGAGCGTTAGCCATCTCTCGGTCGCCAGCTAATAAAGGACTCTTAAATTTGTCTCAAAGTGTGGCGTTTCTCTAACTCACTCGGGTACAACAGATGCAGGATTTAGAAGGGATTGCACAAGTCACTTAAAAAAAGATCAATCCATTACAACCTTTTCAGTAAAGCCTCTTAATGGGGAAATGTGATATGTGACTAGGAAGTTGAGTAATTTTCTTAAAGTATAAAATAAAAAGAAGCTCTCATCACAAATGCGGATGGGGGGAAGAGGACAGACTTCATGCAGGACTGGAGTTGAACAGGGTTCAGGGCTGAAAACACACCTTACATTCCCTCGCTTCCCCTTCTCTACTTTCAAGACTGAACCAATGTGCCCTATACAAGGCGAAGTATACACCCGGTAACTCCGCGGTATCAGAGCGGAGATTCACTGGGTGCAGTCTAAGGCGGGACGCAGCCTGGGGGCCACCGTCACAAGCTGCATGCAGCAACCTACAGTTGTTGAGATTAATGTTTCTAGAATGTGAGGTGACTTAAAAATAATAATAATCACTTCCTGGCCCGGCGCGGTTGCTTGCCTGTAATCCTAGCACTTTGGGAGGCCAAGATGGGAGGATCGCTTAGAACCCAGGGGTTGGAGACTAGCCTGAGCAACATGGCGAGGCCTCCTCTCTACAAAATAAAAATTAGCCAAGCATGGTCGCGCACGACGGTAGTTCCAGCTACTCAGAGGCTGAGGTGGGAAGATCCCTTGGAGTTCCAGGCTGCAGTGAGCCGTTATTGCGCCACTGCCCTCAGGCCTGGGCGACAGAGCGAGAACCTATCCCCCACGCCCCAAAATATCACACTTCCTGAGGGAATGGTTCAAACTAAACATCCCACTTTGTGCGTAACTTTACATTCAATCCATCATCCCCTCAAGAACAAAATGTTCTTTCTCCCCCTCAAACATGGAGGGCAGAAAAACAGACGTTCTCTCAAACCCACCGAGCACGCTGTTTTCCTGAGACGGAAGAGACGGATAACAGCCGCTACTGCGCACAGCCTAGTGGGGGAGGACGGCAGCCAGGAAGGGCCAAACTTAGACGCAGCAGCGCCGGAGCGCGCTCGCGGCCCACCGCGTGCGACGTCAGCTTTGCACCGGCAGAGCTTCACGGGAGGAAAGGCGGGATTCAGGGTGGGCGGGTGCCCTGCGAAGACGAAACGAACTTTGAGGAAAACTAGAGGATCTCGCCCCCTGCCTGTGACAGCTTAGGGTCGCCTACTTTTTGTGGATACACTACCGTCCACGGCGTGCAGAGGCCGCCTGCAGTTTTCTAGCGTCCCTGTGAGACGCACGGTGGCGCAATTCCCGAGAGTGCCAATCCTAGGCCGGCTGGAGGGCGGGCTCTTCAAATTTGAATTACGGAAGTGTTGTGTGAGAGTATCTCGCGGAGGGGGTAAGCGTCGCTTGGTGCCCGGCCGCCGCGGGCAGGGGCCACCGTGGGCCTGAGGCGCGAGCCGGGCGGCGTCCGTCCCTCCCTCCGCGCGGAGCCGAGCCGGGACTGCGGCAGTCTCTCCCTGCCAGGCCCTTCACCCAAGGTACGTCCTCCCGCGCCCCCCGATAGCCTCCTGCCGCGGGTCCCCGCCGATGGTGGGCGTCCTGCCCTTTAAGCATGTAGGCTCACGCAGTTTATTTATTTATTTATTTGTAGATTTCTGGCTTTGGTACTGATTTTACAGCTTCGCACTCGATGTTCACTTATTTTGTGTCTACTGTACTTAAGAGAGTAGAACACGATTGCTCAGATTTATTTCGATGGTGAGCGTTCTAGGTCTTTGTTCTAAAATAACTTTTTTTTTTTTTTTTTAGAATACCAAGTGGGAAAATTATATGCGTCAGTACCCAACTCTTCCCCTTGGGACCCCAGGACCCACAGGGCTATAGAAGCAATTGATCATTCAGCTTATGTTTTGTTCTGGTTAAATTGCATGCTTGTTGCAAACAGCTTTAGATATTAATAAAATTATTTAGAAAATGGTCGGGCGCGGTGGCTCACGCCTGTGATCCCAGCACTTTGGGAGGTCGAGGCGGGTGATCTTTGAGCTCAGGAGTTCAAGAAAATGGTAGGCCGCTTCATCCTGCCCTTCGAAGATAAACACTGTTTACAATTTGGTTCACTGCTTCCAGAGTTTTTCTCTATGCTTGTTTGTGTTTTATTTATTTATTTAATTTTTTTTTTACACAAATGCAATTATATGTTGTTACTTTCTTTTTCAATTTAATATTTCTTGGACGCTTTTCCGTGTAAGTACATATATATATATTTATTGAATACATAAATTGTATGGATGTGGTGGAATTTATTTTGTCCTTTATTGGTAGACATCTGGGTTGTTTAATTTCATTTTATGCTGCAGGTACTGCAGCATGAACTTCCCTGTTTAGTGGCTGTGTAGACTACGTTGCCTTTTGGTAAAGAACTTAAGCTATGGAGTCGGGTAGAATCGGATCCTCTTTCTCACTGTCGAGTGACCTTGGTCAGGTTACTTAACCACCTTATACCTTAATTTCTCTTTTTTCAAATTTGGAGTAATAACAGTACTTAACTCTTTCGAGTTACTGTTAGATTATATAGTGACTGGCATGTAAATATTCAGTAAATAACGGCTATTACGATACATATATATTTGCATTCTTATGCAGATGTTTCTATAGGAAAAAACAAGTTAGAAGTGGAATTCCCAAGTCAATAGTATGCAGACTTGCATTTGAAATTAATCTTTACCAATGTGATATGAAAAAAAAATCAGTTTTAGTTTGCATTTCCATTTATGAGTAAAATTAGATGTCACTTGACTCGTTTGTTGGCCTTTTTGTATTCTATTAATTGCATTTCATGTCCCGTGACCGTTTTCTGTTTTGTACATTTTTTAAAGTTGATTTATTAGGTCTCTTTGAATGTTATGTAAATTAACCCTTTGTCATATGTGCTGAGTATTTTTTTCAAGTGTATCATTTGCCTGTTAACTTAAAATTCTATTTTTCCCCTAATTCTATGTCCCAGTTTTGGTTAGTGTGCTCTGGGATTTTTGACCCATTCCATAGTAATAGTTATTATTACTGCTACCACTACAGTAAATTCTTACAAGAACTTTCCATGTCTTTTTGGGAGGAGGAGGAGGAGTTATATTCAGGATCATATACATAATTGTTTAGCTTCAGTTCTGTGTTTATATGTGTCACTTGTAACTGACTGTCATATGTTCTGAGAAATACATTCTCAGGAAATTTTTGTCATTGTGCCAGTATCATAGAGTGTACTTATAAAAACCCAGGCTATATGTTATAACCTATTGCTTCTAGGCTTCAAACCTGTACAGCATGTTACTTTACTGAATATTGTTGGCAGTTGTAACACAATGATAAGTATTTCTGTATCTAAACATACCAAAATATACAAAAGGTACAGTAAAAATAAGTTAAAAAAAGGTACACCAAAACAATTTCATGGGACCACTGTATATGTGGTTTGATGTCATTATGCAGTGCATCACTGTACCATAAATGCTTACGGCCAGACTTTTTTTTTTTTTTTTTTTTGAGACAGAGTCTTGCTGGAGTGCAGTGGTGTGATCTCCGCTCACTGCAAGCTTCGCCTCCCGGGTTCACACCATTCTCCTGCCTCAGCCTCCCGAGTAGCTGGTACTACAGGCACGTGCCACCATGCCCGGCTAATTTTTTTGTATTTTTAGTAGAGACGGGGTTTCACCATGTTAGCCAGGATGGTCTGGATCTCCTGACCTCGTGGTGTGCCCCCATCGGCGTCCCAAAGTGCTGGGATTACAGTTGTGAGCCACCACGCCCATCCTGGCCAGCCGTTTCATCCAATGGTTTTCCCATTCCTGTGTCTTTATGTTGAAAACAATTTTTTTCCGCCAGTACATCAGCATTTGTCAGTTTTTAGAATAAGTTTTAAGGATTAGATTTTCCAAACAACTTTAAGCAGTTAATGAAAACGGAAACATACTTTCTCCAGTCTGAGAGGAACTAACAATTTCTTGTTGCTGACCTCCATCTGTTAGCCAATGTGCTTGGCTTCAGGACAGGCTGCTCTTTCCTCCACTTGAGGGATGCCAGTTATTAAATCTCCACTAATGTCTGTGTTTCATCAGAGGCTGATTTCTTTGTTTTGCTCTTTTGACTAGGAAGGAAATGGAGCTTCAGATCTGTCCTGGATGAATTATCTAGACCCAGTGGTGTTCTTGTTTATCTATTCCGCAAAGCCTCTGTGGTCAGAGGGAATTGTAGATCATTTTTTTTTCTCTGCATTCTGTCTTTAACAAACCACTGGCAAATACTGACTGCTTTTTTTTGGCTTATATTGAGTTGCTATTTATCACACGGTGGGAAAAAGGTCTCCTAGAGCAACTTTTTGTGTCTTTGGGAGGGGAAGTGGAATTTGAGGATTTTTCAGAATCGTGGCTACTCACCTTTATCCTACTACTTGCCTGAATTGGGGGCAGGGACATTAGGAAACAGTAAGCTCTGTTTGTTTCTCGTAACCTTTCAGTGTGACAATTATCTGACTTTAAATGAAGACAGTTCTGCATGTCCATTACAGATTGGTTCTGTTTTCAGTGCTGCTCGCTTATTTGCAGTTTTTACTTTCTGTTTAGCATCTCATTAGGCTCTGAGGAATTAAGATTGTGTAAACCTGAACATTCTTTGCCGTTTTGCTTTGCAGTTTTCCAGTTTATTGTTGTTGTTGTTGTTGTTGTTGTTATTATTATTATTATTATTTTGAGACAGAGTCTCACTCTGTCGCCCAGGCTGGAGTGCAGTGGTGGTACGATCTCAGCTCACTGCAACCTCCATCTCCTGGGTTCAAGTGATTCTCCTGCCTCAGCCTCCTGAGTAGCTGGGACTACAGGCATGTGCCACCACATCCAGCTAATTTTTGCATTGTTAGTAAAAACGGGGTTTCACTGTGTTGGCCAGGCTGGTCTTGAACTCCTGACCTCAAGTGATCCTCCTGCCTTGGCCTCCCAAAGTGCTGGGATTACAGGCGTGAGCCACTGTGCTCAGCCAAGTTTATTCATTTTTTATTTTGAGAGATTGTATAGCTTTATTGCCTTTCTTTGAAATGAACAGCTAAGCCAGACTTGGTGGCTCACACCTGTACTCCCAACACTTGTGGGAGGCCGAATCAGGAGGATCACTTGAGCCCAGGAGTTCAAGACCAGCCTGGACGACATGGGGAAACCCTGTCTCTATAAAAAAATGCAAAAAAACATAGCTCAGGTGGTTCATGCTTGTAATCCCAGTACTTCGGGAGGCTGAGGCAAGTGGATCACCTGAGGTCAGGAGTTAGAGACCAGCTTGACCAATATGGTGAAACTCCGTCCTACTGAAAATACAAAAATCAGCCGGGTGTGGTGGCATGCGCCTGTGATCCCAGCTACTTGGGAAGCTGAGACAGGAGAATTGTTTGAACCCATATGGTGGAGATTGTAGTGAGCCAAGATCACATCACCGCACTCCAGCCTGGGCAACAGAGCGAGACTCCCTCTCAAAAACAAAACAAATAAGCAAAAAAAGAAAAAAGAAAACATAGCAGAGGTGCAGTGGCACAAACTTGTGGTCCCAGCTACTCTGGAGGCGAAGGTAGGAGGATTGCTTGAGCCCAGATTTCGAGGTTGCAGGGAGCCCTGAGCACACCACTGTACTCCAGCCTGGGTGACAGAGACACTGTCCCAAAAATAAAACAGAAATGAAGTGAACAGCTAATATTATAACTTCCCAGTACAGAACCCCTGGAACTAGCACATCATAAACATATACATGCATGCATTAATATGTATTTGCAGGATTCATATTCTGTGGAAGAATTACAGTGGTTTTTAGGAGCTCCAGACTCCCAAGATAGCCTTCTTTGTTGACTGTTGTAATTTAAGAATATTTTCCTTCTTTTTTTCTCCGTTATCATAAATTATTGGATTAAATAATACTTTGTATATTAATTGCTTATCTCTCACAGAAGTAGCTGTAGATAAAGATACTTGATATTTTTTGGTCTGGCTATGTTAGAATTTTCTGTGATAGGTTTTTTTTATGTTTATATGATGTTAACTAATTGGAATAGTTATAAATTCAGCTATAAGAGATGCTGTAAATCTAGACTAGTAAGTTCCAGGGTCCTTGGATTGAAATATTTTATTTATTTACCAAATATTAGTTAATGCAACTATATGGTTCCTTACCTAGAACCTTAATTTCTAGGCGTGAATAATACAATTTATGTGTAAGAAACAAGTTGCAGCCAGGCGCAGTAGCTCACGCCTATAATCCCAGCACTCTAGGAGGCCGAAACAGGTGGATCACCTGAACTCAGGAGTTTGAGACCAACCAGCCTGACCATCATGGAGAAACCCCGTCTCTACTAAAAATACAAAATTAGCCAAGCGTGGTGGTGCATACGTATAATTCCAGCTACTCGGGAGGCTGAGGCAGGAGAATTTCTGGAACCTGGGAGGCGGAGGTTGTGGTGAGCTGAAATCCCACCATTGCACTCCAGCCTGGGCAACAAGAGGGAAACTCC